ATCTTTGTAAATCTGTGTTCATCCTAAAGGAAATCAGAACATAACAGGAAACATAGAGTTTTGTTATGTAGGGGTGAATCATCTTTTATTATTTTTGTGTAAGTGTTCTCAATCATCATGCATGATTTTGGTGTAAGTGTGTTTTTTCTTTCCATATAACAAAACACATGCATAAGAAGAACACTAGTTTAGAAAATGACCTTTAATATCTCAAATGTGGGACTGATAGTGATTGCTATGAATTTCTCCCTTCAAATGCTTGTTTTCAAAAGTAAATATACATTAGAGATTATGATTACTCTGGGGGGAAAAGCAAATATGAACATTTATAGATAAATAGAATAAAAATTAGAATTGACTCATTATAAAATATGTTTTTTTCTCCCATGATTAACTGGTAGCATATTATAGATCAATTATAATTTATTCTTTTGTAACATACTCTTAAATAGAAATCTGTCAAATGGACTTTATATATGAGTCTTGAATTTCATGAGACTCCTCTATCTTGTGAAACTACATCACAAGAGAGTACAATTTATTTATAATTGACAACACTACACTTGAAATTATTTAAGTTGATTTTTTTTGGCCTTGCCAGCTATATACACTAAAGCTTGTCATCTTCATTGTCTTATATTATATAATAGTAAGAATGGTGACAATAATTAGCACTTATTGAGCACAAACTGCCTGTCTCTGTCTGGTTTTACAGTCAGTGTGTTTTCCATGCTGTCATTAAGCAACTCATAAATACACTAAATCCTCTGGTGAATCTGGAGTGAACAGAATGCTTCTTTACTCACCTTCCAAATTTAAGAATACATACTTTATTAAAGAGTGTTCTGAAATGGCATCTTTAATTACAATCCTACATTTGCTTCTTTTATAATTCGACACAGCGTGTGGAAGTTGAAGTAATCTCTCAACCAGAGAAAAACAACTACACTCAAAGAGAATTAATGCCTTTAAAAGCTTTGTCCTACTCAGATTCACCATAGTCAAATTAATTTTATAGAAACTTCGGTTGTTTTTTAAAAATAACAATTGTTGTTTAACTGAATAGGAGCATAGGTAAGATGTAAGAAGTTAGAAGAATACTACACATTTCACATTAGTGAATTTTCCATAGCAGTTTATGTCATTGTAAGATACATAAATGAAACAAAAGAAAGACTTAAAATGCTGAAGGAGTACATTCAAAGTTATTTACTATCAGATGCAGCTAATTGTCTCTACATCTAGGAAAGTCAAAGTCATGCATTAACTGAGGAAAACAAATTACTGAAGAATCTGAGAACTAGATTTGGAAAAAAAAAATGTGTCTGATTTTAACCCACATTTCTATTTAATCTAATAAAATTTCACCCAATTTCTATTTAATCTCACACTGGAAAGCAGTGATATAACCTAAGCAATCCAGAATTTGTATTGTTCACTGACATTTGTTTTTAAGACTCTTCTCTAAGTTATAAAGCAATATAAAAAGCTCATGTTGGAGAAGAACATCTAAAGGATTTGGAGTGAAAGGAACAATGAGACAAAATTAAGCACATTTGAGAGCAATGGAAAACAGCTACTAACACATATGCCAAGAAAGTATTGTCTTTTTTAAAAAATCAAACTGTTGAGAAGTAACACTTTAAAACTGTGGTTTGTTTTCATGATGATTTCAAATATAAGCCACCAAAAACTTCCATAAATTGTCTGTACGTAGGGACCAATAATTCTGTCCAAACTAATTTGCAAAATTCACCCTAGAACATATTTTTCAATTGAGAAAGTATTTTCATTGTTTGGAACTGTGATATAGAAAGTCATTCCTTTTATTATTTAGAATTGAGAATACATACATTGGAAAAGAAGAAGGAATACTTTATTGTTCTTAAAATGTCATTACATTTAATATTAGTGTAAATCAAAGAACATATTGCTATTCTTATTTTCCCTCTACCAAACAAAATTACTGATGTTAACAAGTTAGGACACTTAGTAAGATAGGTTATACACACACACACACACACACACACACACACACACACACATATATATTTATATATGTAGTTTTCAGTCTACTCCATCTGGACTGTAATTTGCTACATCTGGTCAAGAAGATCAACCTACAAATATTTAACCTCTACTTATACAAACAGGAAATATTTAATTGAGTGCTTACTAGGAAATGCTTGTTCTAGGTTTTTTACAGGCTTTATCTAATTTCACCTCAGTGACTCTTAAAAGATACATGAACTCTTAAAAGATACATTATTCACCCCATCTTCTATAAAACTTGGGGCCAGGGAGTTTAAGGAACTTGTCCTCGTTTGTACACCTAAAAAATAAGTACTGTGGTGATGCTTGTGTTCTTACTTACAGTTGTATAACTCCAAAATCTATAGCTATAGTATTTATTTTCCTACAACTTCTTCCAATTAATGCTTAGAGATCCCCTATGTAGTTTCTATGCATTTGCAATTAAAATCCATTCTTGTATCTCTTACATGACCCTTTAATTGCTTAATATCTTTATGTAATTTTTTTGGTTTAGGCCGAGGTGGCCTTTTTTTTTTTTTTTTTTTTTTTTAAGTTTGTGGGCTTTTTTTTCTTTTTTAAGTTTGGCCTCTCTGAAACTAAGGTAGAATTATAGATCTTAGAATTGGAAGTAAGGATGAAGGGCATCCATTTGATAAACAGATCTTTTCTAATGACCATTCAATCAGGGCCTGAACGTATCCAGTGACAGAGCCCTTGCCTCTGGCAGAAGCCCATTTCCATCCTCACACAACTCAGAGTGCCTGAAATTTCAGTCTTTTGACTCTGCGTAGTGTAGCATCGATCAGTTGTAACCTTTGGGGTGCCAATGAAATGAATGTTATGTCTTTTTTTTTTTTTTTTTTTTGAGACTGAATGTTGCTCTGTCACCCAGGCTGAAGTACAGTGGTGCAACCTCGGCTCACTGCAACCTCCACCTCCCGGGTTCAAGCAATTCTCCTGCCTCAGCCTCCCGAGAAGCTGGGATTACAGGCACCCACCATCACGCTCGGCTTATTTTTTGTGTTTTTAGTAGAGACGGAGTTTCACCATGTTGGCCAGGCTGGTCTTGAAATTCTGACCTTGTTGTCTGCCCGCCTTGGCCTCCCAAAGTGCTGAGATTACAGGCGTGAGCCACCGTGCCCAGCCAATGACTTCCATTTCAATTAAGATATTATGTAGTGGATTATCTGTCCCTCTTCTCTGGAGACTAACCCCTCTCATTTATTTCAGCTGTGATTCACATGAATTAAACTCTTTTCTTTCCTTCCTTCCTTCCTTCCTTCCTTCCTTCCTTCCTTCCTTCCTTCCTTCCTTCCTTCCTTCCTTCCTTCCTTCCTTCCTTCCTTCCTTCCTTCCTTCCTTCTTCCCTCCCTCCCTCCTTCCGTCCCTTCCTTCCTCTCCTGCTTCTTTTTTTTGTGTGTGTGGGGAGTGGGGTGTGGTAGGGAGTAAGGCCAGTCTAGTATTATACTATTTCTCATGAAGAAAGGAGAAAAGTATCTTTTAACAATTAGTTAACAATTTTTGCCTATAGGATAGGTAAATATACAAAAAGATAGATATTCCATTTTACGTTGTTGACCTAGTAATATGAAAAAAACATGTGAGTTAGGCATGATGAGCTATTAATTATCTGTTTCCTGAGGGAATGTTCATTCTGGTAGATAAGATTGCAATAATTGACAGTGGGATGCAGGCTATAAGAGTAATTCAAGCAAAATGTAACAGGAAGCTCTCTGAGAATTTCTTGGCAGTTGCATTTGAACTAGCTTTAAGCGTGGATCTATTCTGTAGCTGTCGGAGTCAGGAAAAATAGTAACAAAGGCCAAGGAGTGAATGAGCACAGTGCATGACTTTCCGCATGATAGAGGACATGAGAAGTACTGGGATAGGGTCTAAACTGAAATGATAGTGACCTGATCTTTAGGGTTAAGTTAAAGAGTATGAATTTTATCCTCTGTTGAAATCATATTTTTGATGATAAAATGATAAAATGAAGAGGTCAGTAGGACAAATAGATAAAACAAGGCAATCGGTCACATGACTAATATATGTTTCCTGATGTTAACAGCTGGAACAGGTGTTAGAACAGGTCTACATTGCAGCTTTCTGTCTTTGGAAGGCACATCGCATTCTACATTTTGTGTGTGCTGCTGAAAGTTTCCTACTAAGTGTGCACCCGAAAAATCTAAAGCACTGATTCAGGACATAGAGTTTTGGAGATACAGTTTTGGAGAATCCTCAAAAATTCAATCCCATGGGGGTGGTGTGTGTGTGTGTGTGTGTGTGTGTGTGTGTGTGTGTGCATTGAGCAAAACGTATCTTTAAGAAGCCAACAATTACCTTCTTAACACAAAAGTGGACTTAAATTTAATGTTATTTTTAATCTGAAAGTGTTCCTCTCACTAAAGTACAGGTATTTCTCTTCCTCTCGTCTTTAGGACTGTACCATGTTAAGTATGAAACCAGCAAATAGGAATATAACTCCCATTTTAATAAAATGCAGGCCGGGCACAGTGGCTCACGCCTGTAATCCCAGAACTTTGGGAGGCCAAGGTGGGCAGATCACCTGAGGTCAGGAGTTCGAAGCCAGCCTGACCAACATCGAGAAACCCCGTCTCTACTAAAAATACAAAAATTAGCCAGGTGTGGTGGTGCATGCCTGTAATCCCAGCTACTTGGGAAGCTGAGGTGGGAGAATCGCTTGAACTCAGGAGGCGGAGGTTGTGGTGAACTGAGATCGCGCCATTGCACTCCAACCTGGGCAACAAGAGCAAAACTCCATCTCAAAAAAAAAAGTAAAATGCACACATTTTGGTTCCGGTTCCAATATATTTCTTAGTACCCTGAAGAATAAGCACAGATTGATAGCTACAACAGTCAATATAGTCAGGTTACCATGTACCGACAGTCTATGCTTGTATAGTGCTTCACATTAATACCCAATGTTTTGCTTTGTTACCTTGCAGAAATGTTGGAATCCAACAATGTGATCACTTTCAATGGCTTGGCCAACAGCTCCAGTTATCATACCTTCCTTTTGGATGAGGAACGGAGTAGGCTGTATGTTGGAGCAAAGGATCACATATTTTCATTCAACCTGGTTAATATCAAGGATTTTCAAAAGGTATCAGTATTCTAATATATGCACTATAGTTATTTTGAAGCATCTCAAGTCATAGATAATTCTCTAGCTATTTAAAAGCATGATTACTGACAGAAAGTTGTTTTGAATTAATATTTTGTCTTTTCTGATGCAAATAAAAATGACAATAATGAATCAATGGATGCAATAGATTAAAAAAATATCAAGGATGAAACCACAGTATTTGCAGTAATCAGTATAAGAAATATGAACTTCAGCTTATCCTTTCATATCTATTTTTCCTACATAAAAGTAAATACTTGAACCATTGTAGCAATACATTATAATTGACTTCATGAACTATGCATATGTGTGTAGGTATAAATTTATATTTCTCTATTTCCAGAAAATGAAGAGTTTATCTAGCCATTACCCACATGCCTAATTTGGCATGCTATCAGTGTTTGTAAATAAAGTTTTATTGAAACACAAGCACTCTCATTCATTTACATATTGCCTGTGTCTGTTTTTGTGCTACAATAGCAGAATTCAGTAGTTACAAAGGATATCAACTGGTCTACAGAAACGACTATTTGGCCTTTTAAACAAAGAGTTTGCCAAACCCTGATCTAGAAGATCAAAGTATCAGATTTTTTAAAAAATGTGGTCATTCAGACATCAGCAGGATATAAGTTCTATCTTTATTCTTTATAGTATTTCTGGCTTATTTCATTAATAAGCTATACAGTTTTTTTGTTTGTTTGTTTTTGTTTTGTTGTTGTTGTTTTTTGAGATGGAGTCTCGCTCTGTCTCCCAGGCTGGAGTGCAGTGGTGTGATCTTGGCTCACTGCAAGCTCTGCCTCCCAGGTTCATGCCATTCTCCTGTCTCAGCCTCCCAAGTAGCTGAGACTACAGGTGCCTGCCACCACGCCCGGCTAATTTTATACTTTTTTTTTTTTTTTTTTTTAAGTAGAGACGGGTTTTCACCATGTTAGCCAGGATGGTCTCGATTTCCTGACCTAGTGATCTGCCCGCCTTGGCCTCCCAAAGTGCTGGGATTACAGGTGTGAGCCACCGCGCCCGACCTTTTATAAGCTATACAGATTAACAAATAAAAACATGGATTGACAAATTAGTGAAAATTGTGCTATTAAGTCTACATGTAGTATGTCTAAGTGAACCATTTTATCACAGTCAATATTTCTGATAGTAATTATCTGAAGAATAAAGGCCTTTATGCAGTAGCTTTCATAAAGGTAATAGTAGAATATTCATTTTGGAATACATCCCTGTCTGTTTCTATTTGTATTAGTTTTACTTCTTAATATTGTAGGCTTTGAACTGGTATGTCCCAACTACTCACAACCAATAACAGATTTGGTGATGATTTTTAAGAAGTAACAGAATTTTCACAAGCTTTTTTTTCTGGTTGGAGAGTGTTGCTTTTGGGATAAAATGCAGTTTTAAATTCAAAGCTGATTTATATTTTTAATAGAGTATAGCATAAACCTAAGACGTTTGCTTTTCTTTCATTACCTGAACACTAAAAATCTGACCACGGCATAAAGAAATTTGATTCATTATATATAGCGTCATATAAAATGGTAATACACTTATAATGTACTTTAGAATTGTGATATGCCAGCTTTAAAAATCACTTTGGAGGCCAGGCGCGGTGGCTCAAGCCTGTAATCCCAGCACTTTGGGAGGCCGAGACGGGAGGATCACGAGGTCAGGAGATCGAGATCATCCTGGCTAACATGGTGAAACCCCGTCTCTACTAAAAATTACAAAAAACTAGCCGGGTGACGTGGCGGGCGTCTGTAGTCCCAGCTACTCGGGAGGCTGAGGCAGGAGAATGGCGTGAACCCAGGAGGCGGAGCTTGCAGTGAGGTGATCCGGCCACTGCACTCCAGCCTGGGCGCCAGAGCGAGACTCCGTCTCAAAAAAAGTAACTTTGGGTATTTCTATTTTGATTTTTCAATTCAATTGATTTCATAGCCCCCTCAGATGATAATAATAAATGCCTGTTATCTATTGTCTAAAAATATTGGTTATTCATTTGTTTTTCTGAAATGATAAATATTTATCTTAGTCTTCTGAAAATATCATAAAATAAGCAGATTTTTATTGTTGTTTCACCAAAAGAAAACCATTCTTTTTAAAGTGAGCACAAAACAGATCTGGTGCGGTGGCTCATATCTGTAATCCCAGTACTTCAGGAGGCCAAGGCTGGTGGATCACCTGAGGTCAGGAGTTCAAGACCTGCCTGGCCAACATGGTGAAACCTGTCTCTACTAAAAATACAAAAATTAGCTGGGTGTGGTAATGGGCGCCTGTAAACCCAGCTACTTGGGAGGCTGAGGCAAAAGACTGGCTTGAACCTGGGAGACAGAGGTTGCAGTGAGCCGAGATCATGCCATTGCACTCCAGCGTGGGTAATAAGAGCAAAACTCTGTCTCAAAAAAAAAAAAAAAATCTAAGTCAACTAAGAAATATTAGATATATTGATTTTAGGAAATTGTATCAGTTAAAATTGTAGGTATTTATAATAATTTATCATTTTGTGATATTCATGTATGTATATATCTATAGACAGAGAGCATTATGAGCATAGAATACCTAAGATTATATATTTAACTTATTTAACATTTTTCTGTGACTATATATTCTGAATGTGGTTAAACTATTCCATTATTTCTAAAACTGAAAATAATCAAATTATAAAATAAAAAATTTACCATTTTATATCTAAGAAAAACTCTACAGCCATTTGTACACTCAGAATATATCACAGTATCTTTTACCAAATATACTTAAAATGAACTATTTTAAAGTAATGAATTACAAGGTAAATCATTTGTCTAAAATTGTGATATTCTTGTTATAGTGCTTGCCTTTGAGTTTAAAATCATTCAACTAATAATAAAAGGTATATTTCTTTTTTTTTTTTTTTTTTTTTGAGACAGAGTCTGGCTCTGTCGCCCAGGCTGGAGTGCAGTGGCCGGATCTCAGCTCACTGGATCTCAGCTCACTGTAAGCTCCGCCTCCCGGGTTTACGCCATTCTCCTGCCTCAGCCTCCCGAGTAGCTGGGACTACAGGCGCCCGCCACCTCGCCCGGCTAGTTTTTTGTATTTTTTAGTAGAGACGGGGTTTCACCATGTTAGCCAGGATGATCTCGATCTCCTGACCTCGTGATCCTCCCGTCTCGGCCTCCCAAAGTGCTGGGATTACAGGCTTGAGCCACCGCGCCCGGCCCAATAAAAGGTATATTTCTAATTTTTAAAACATCTTATTACAAACAGATTATTTAATTTTAATTATGTCACATTGTTTATACAAATGAACCCAATTTACTTAAGAATTTATATCAGCTGAATGTGGTGGCTCACACCTGTAATCCCAGCAGTTTGGGAGGCCAAGGCCTGCAGATTGCCGGAGCCTAGGAGTTTGAGACCAGTCTGTGCAACATAGTGAAATCCTGTCGCTACAAAAAAAACCAAAAAACCAAAAAAATATATACAAATAAGCTGGGCATGGTAGCACACGCCTGTAGTCACAGTTACTGTGACTGAGGCAGGACAATCATTGCCCTGGAGATCAAGGCTGCAGTGAGCTGTGATCATACCACTACATTCCAGCCTGGGCAATAGAGTGAGACCCTGTCTCAAAATACATACATACATACATACATATTAGATCTGTTTATACATATATTTGGGGTGTTTTAATATTCCTTTTAACCTAAGCATATGTAATGTTCAAATAGCTTTCTTCTAAGCACCTATTTTTTGTGATGAACACTACAGGAGGTTTATGATATGTTATTAATAATTCTTGATGACCTTACAAGGTTAGCAGTAAAGGTAAATTAGTAATCTTATGGGTAAATACTAGGCAAATCCCTCTCAGAGGCAAAAACACATGTTCAGGTTTGGAAGAACTGTGGAAAGATTCTTGGCTTTGATAAAAGGTACGATCTCTTTAAAGCATAAATGCTTATTACCTAACATGTGTAAATGGGCCTGCCATGAGTGGAAGTGTAGAGGCATAAGGATGAAAAAGTAAAAAATAGATTATAAAGCATTTTGAAAATGAGAATAAGAAATTTAGATAGTTAACTGAGAAATTTGTGAGCAAAGAATAAAAAGATAATTCCAACAACCAACAGTTAAACAAATCCAACCAAAATGTTAGTAATTATTCTTTATGGAAATGAATACTTAAAAGACTATTAAACATACATTTACTTTTGTTCCACTGGCTTATACTTATCCTCATTAAATTGCTCTCCAAAAGAACATTTCTACATCAAAATTTATTTTACTCATGTCAGACTTCTAAACTTTTAATTGTTATTATTATTATTATTATTATTATTAACCCTGGAACTCTAGAAAGTTAATAGACTCTTTTAGGTCTAAGAATTTTTAGCATGAATATTATACAGATTATTGTTTATAAATATTTTACTTAGATAATAGAATCACAGAGAATCATAAAATGACGTCCATGCTGTCTCAACAATTAAGCAACAAGAGCTAGGAAACTATGAGAAAATAACTTGTCTTTTAAAATATATATATTTATATGTTGTAACTTTGTTTTTAAACGTATATATGTTTTAACAATCAGTGATTTCAGCATAATTTAGCTGGAAAGTTGAATATGAAAGTCAATAAATCTTAACTGTTATATATTATTACTGTTATGCCCTAGAGAAAAGTTATGTTTTACCCTCTTACATTATAAACCTTAAATAAAAATAGATCCCCTTGCCTTTCCATATCCAATGTGAAGACTCAACTGCTAGGATTGCCCAGCAATCATTATAGAAATCCAGCAGTCAGAGTAATGTTAATTATAAGAACAATACATTTACTGATCTTGAATTTTTTATATGACTACTTTGTAAAAGCCTGTGGAACAAATCAACTATAATTTTAATTTACATATGCAGGCAAATGTGAAAAGGAAAGCACATAAAATAGAAAGAATACTCAAATTTAGAACTTAATGTTAAAAATGAACGCCTATCCAGTTAGCCAAGATCCAGCCACTGTACTCTAGCCTGGGTGACAAGAGTGAGACTGCATTTCAAAAAAAAAAAAAAAAAAAGAATGCGTATCCCTATCCAATAATTTTTAGGGCATACTGTTTTGACATGGACCTGAAATGCATTTATCAAGTCATCATACATTACTTCAGTATGTGCCAAATCCTTGTTTGTAAATGTGTTTTGTTTTGCTTTGCAATTCTCCAGATTGAATATCATATTTTTTGCCCAAGTTTATGATCATTTATATCGAATTCTCTAGCTGGGCACAGTGGCTCACCCCTGTAATCCCAGAACTTTGGGAGGCCGAGGCAGGTGGATCATGAGGTCAGGAGATCGAGACCATCCTGGCTAACACGGTGAAACCCCGTCTCTACTAAAAAATACAAAAAATTAGCCGGGTGTGGCGGCGGGTGCCTGTAGTCCCAGCTACCCAGGAAGCTGAGGCAGAAGAATGGTGTGAACCCGGGTAGCAGAGCTTGCAGTGAGCTGAGATGGCGTCACTCACTGCACTCCAGCCTGGGCGACAGAACAAGAAAAAGATTTATCTAGAGGTTCCCAAATGAATGATAATCAGTCATTTTAGACTAAAAGCTTTCCAGCAGACACGAATGATTAAGTGCCACCATTTCTGTTTTTTTATATATGATTTTTTTCCCACTGAAATTAACTATTAATAATATTACTAGAAAGGAAAAATGAATAAAAAACAAATTGTTCTGCCCCTATACAGATAAGAGTCATTGGAATTGCTCAGGGGATTTTATATTAAAATCAAATGAGAGGAGCATTTGGATTAATATTGTTGGGGGGATGAATCCACTGTCCTCCAAGCCACCACTAACATCATGGTTCATCTACTACTGTCACTGTATTCACACAATATGAGACTTTCTGGAAGGATGAAGACTAAATATGAGGGATAAAAACACAAATAATTGTTTCTCAACTAGTCTTTTAGCCCACATTAGAGAGGGTAATCGTTTTTTAGAGCTATCTATTTGCTTCTTCAATCTACCTTTATTTCTCTAGCATATACCATGTTACTTATAAATATTTTCCCTTTCCAAAAAAAAACAAAAACAGTAAAGAGGAGAAAAAAGAGAAGTTTCCATTCTAAGTATTTTTTTTTTTTAATCCTTCCAGTTACTTATTCTAAAATGTCATGCTGAGATTTGTTTCAGGGAAATGTATCCAAAGCACCCAAATGTTAAAATTACAAAATCACTATTTCATGATAAAGGCCAATTTAGAAAAATCTGAGCCATATTCTATGCCAGTTTCTACTTCTCTTCACTAAATTCTCACATCCTCTCAAGAAGATCTCCCTTTCCCAATCTGTGTGCCAGTTCTTGCCACACTGCACGGCTTAGATCTATTGTCTGCGTCAGTTTCTCTCTTGCTCAACTTTTTTATACAGCAAAGGCTATTGTGTAGATGGAGAATCAGTGACTTATGTTCACACCAATTAACTGACGCCATTGGAAGATCTAAAGTGAAAGGTTCCTGAAAGAGTCTTTACGAAACTTTCTTTACTTCAGTTGCCCCAATGTCATCTAAAAGACTATATGGTGTTGGATCTCTGAGACAACTTAGTTGACATAAAACAATGTTTATTCTCTGTCCTTAGATTGTGTGGCCAGTATCTTACACCAGAAGAGATGAATGCAAGTGGGCTGGAAAAGACATCCTGGTAAGCATTAACCTAATAAATTATTATACAGGTTGAGTATGATTCATTGAAAATGCTTGGGAACAAAGTATTTCTGATTTTTTTTTTCTTTTTTGGTGGGGAAGGGGTTAGAATCTTTTCATATATATAATAAGATATCTTTCAGATAGAACCCAAGACTAGAAGCAAGATGTATTTATTTTTCCTATACATGGTATACCCATAGCCTAAAGGTAATTTTATTTTCCCCTCAGGGATGCTGAAAAAACTCTGCTGTGTGTCTGCATTTTGACTGTGACTAATCACATGAGGTTGGGTGTGGAATTTTCCACTTGTGGGTCATGTGGGTGCTCAAAAAATTTCAGATTTTGGAGGATTGCAGATTTCAGGATTTTGAATTAGGGATGCTCTACCTGTAGTAATGACATAAGTAATTTATTACTCTGTCATCTATTTTTGTTTAGTGTTCTATGAAGCACCACATTTTACTTTTAAACTTTATCACTCAAGAAATAAAATGATAGCATTCAATTTTGGAACACTGACAGATTTATGTATAGAATATATGTAAAAATAATATTCCTTAATAAAGCAAAAATCTGGTCTTTTTGGCTGTTTATATATGCAAAAATTAATTAACAAAATGTGATTTTGTAGCATACATATTTATATTCAATAAGTCAAGTTCTTTCCACAGGTTGATTTTTATGTTAATTCCCCTTGAATTCTTCTTGAAATGCTATGAAATGTTTCCATTTCTGAGTCATAATTAAATTACCTATTTTTTCTTCTTTCAATTTTTTTCCTTTAATCTCTTTTCTTTCCTTTTCCTTTTCTCCATCTTTTTTCTTTTCTTTCATCCTTTCTTTCTTCCTCTCTCCTTTCCTTCCATGTACTCATCCTTTAAATAAATATGGGTTGGAAAAGGACCATGTAATAGGAATTGTCCTAGGCACTCTGGAGTGAAAGATGAATAGTAAGAAATCCCTATAATGTTTTTACCATTGTTAAAAGACACAGGCCATTTTTTGTAAAGTAAACTGTCAGGAAAATTAAGTGGGTGACTGGTTTGAGGAATAGCCCAGTATTTGCACAGATCATGAAAAGTAATTATAATCATTTAAATAAATTAATTAAAATGAATTACAGAATTTTTAAAATATATAATTTTATATAATTTTATGTTTAATTGATATTTGGGGATGTCTAAAATACAAAGCAATATGTTTAAAAGTTTTATCTGTGTTTAAAAGTATTAGGATTTAGAATAAATTTATTCTGTGTGTTGCCTAAAGACATAAATCAAACTGTACATATGTGTATAGATACATAGATATTTTCAAGGGACAACTTGATTGATTTGTTACAGCTGCCTACAATGATGTATATGTTTAGAAGGATTTAGAGTTGGAATCTGAGTTCCTGGGAAAAGACTGACTCAATCTAGCAGCAATGTTGCCTATAGGTGAAGGAAGTTAGGTAGAAGATCACAAAGCAAAGGTATCCCCCATCTTTAATACCTATACATTAGCAAACACGGGAAATTCATCCTTGAAAATTGCATATTATATATATAGTTATTATGTTAAAATATTCATGACCCGTATTAAAGACGGTGAGGCAGACTTTATTCAGGGGTACTGCTACAATGAAGTTTTGTAATGGGGGTAAGAGATTGAGTTTAATACAGGATATCCTGAATACAAAGATAAGTGGAAATTTATAGCTAAGAAGCAAAGTGGGAGTCAGTGGGTGGAAAATTGCCCAGAGGAAACATCGGAGTAATGGGAATCGTGGGTAAATCGATTAGATAGGATTATTACTGAAGGCAGGCCAGGGTGATAAGATATTGACAGTGAGGTAGGGCAGTGGGGTAGGAATTTGATCACACGTATCAACGATGGGAGAATTTCTGTAAACTGACTAAACAGGATTCTTGTGAAAACTGGACCAAGCAGAGATGAACATGGAAATCAGACAGTCAGGGCCTTCTTGTGAAGAGAGTTCAGGGGAGTCTGACTAGAGTTAGGTAGAGAGAGAACCTGTCAACTGAAAGTCACTTCACACTTTTATAGTACAGCAAATGTTTTTCTGGTTATGTAACAGTGGATCAAAAAAAAGTGTGTTCTTCTATCAAATTTTATACTATCCCTAGCTGATGCATAATTTGAAACTTTTGGAAAGGAGTAAATAGAAAACACAATGAAATAAGAACCCAGAGAGGTTGAGAATTTTGTGCTGATACTCCTACTGACTCATGAATATAGTGAGCAAGTATGCTAACTTTCTTTGGCCTTTAGCTTCTCATCTATTAAGTGAGACAACATATATATCACTGTGAGAAACAACTCTAATAGTTTTTGTGGAAATTATTTGAAAAGTAGAAAAATCTTCAATAATATAAGGCTAAAAGTATAACTGAACAAACGAAAATCTATTAACATCAAAAAGCTACATTTACCATGAACAAATTACGTTAAAATATTCAGTGAGATAATGCCTGAGGATGAATAGAAATGGCTAATTTACCTATATACAGCTGTTACCTTTGAAAATGCAAACTTCTCCCTTTCTGTTAAAATCGAATCTTTCCTCTACTAATTACTATGATAACTAGCATTTAGTAAATGTAGTTTCAACAATAGCTTTATGAGGCAGATATAGTTATCCCATTTTCTTGATCTTGATCAGAAAATAGAATGATTTCCTATGCTTGATCAGGAAATATAATGATTCAGATTCTTCATTAAAAATCTTTACATTCAAAAATTTATGCATGTTTTGGGTACTATTCTAGACATTGAGATCAAAATTTCAGTGTCCCTGATGATGTTTTGATTGCAATTGGAATATTTGGATTTGAACTTGTCCATTAACACACAGATGATAAGTAATAGATTTCAACAAATATATTACCTTTTCTGGCTCATCAACTGTGTAAGTATAATGATAATCAACTCATCCAGGCATGGTAGCCCGTGCCTGTATTCCTCACACTTTGGGAGGATGAGGAGGATGGATCACTTGAGGTCAGAAGTTCGAGACCACCCTGGCCAACACGGTGAAGCCCCATCTTTACTAAAAATACAAAAATTAGCCAGGCGTGGTGGCACGTGCCCATGGTCTTAGTTACTGGGGAGGTTGAGGCAGGAGAATCGCTTGAACCCGGGAGGTGCAGGTTTCAGTGAGCCATGATCATGCCACTGAACTCCAGCCTGGGCGACAGAGCGAGACTCTTTCAAAGAAAAAGTAAAATAAAATAACTAACTCACAGAATTCCTGTAAGGCTCAAAGGAACCCATACAAAATATTATGTAACTGAGATATTAATAATTAACAATATAAATATAATGTTAGTCATTATTGCTATTATTAGTATATGTAATAGAGTAGTATGGACAATTTCTAAGTGAAAACATTGTTAATGAAATTAATTCAATACTCCTTAACGGTCGTGACCACTGCAGTGTTTCGTTGTTCTGAATCTGATTTGGTCTGAAAGTTGAAGGTAATAACCATGCTTATCTAGTTATCTTACAAATTATCTGCATATTATAATACAAACTGAAGCTTTATTTGATTTCACGAATGAATCAACCCAATCAAGCATATTTGATTTCATAATCGGATCAACTCATTCAATGGCTGAGATAGCAGATGTAGTTTGTGATTGTGATTTCTAAAATTATTCACCTCAAGGCATTTCCCACATCTTTTATGGAACTTTCTCCTCTCTCTCCCTCTCTATCTCTGCCTCTCTCTCCCTATTATTAACACAAACAACTAAGGGATTCTTGTGGTTAGCCCAAATGCAGTTAGTTCAGCAGCCGCATAAACTCATGATCCACAATGCCCTGTGGAGGATAACTTAATCACTTAATCATGATTTTAGAGACTCACCTGCATCAGCCACTGGAGTAGCTGGGATTACAGGTGACCATCACACCTGGCTAATTTGTGTATTTTTAGTAGAGACAGGGTTTCACCGTGTTGGCCAGGCTGGTCAAGAATACTTTCAAAGAAGAAAAGCAACTTCACTGCATTTTTCCACGCTTACTAAATTTTTTTTCGAATTTTATGGAACTTAATTAAAAGGATCTAAGACATGGAGTTTGCTGAATCTGATAGAGTGACACCACATCATTTCACAGCACCTTGTATATAAGGATCCTGAAAAAATATAAATCATTATGATAGAGGTGCATAGAGAGACACACATTTTTAAAAGTGCGACGGTGTGATAATATTGCCTTACTAATGTTTTCAAAAATCAATTAATTAATTGTAACATTATAAAATATTTGTGTTTTGGTATTTCTGCATTAAATCGAGATTTTGATTTTTCTCCATTAAGATTTATATAGTGAAAGGAAAACAGAAGTTTTTATATATTTTATTTCAAGGAGAAATATATTTTTCTTCCAGCTCTACTCAACATTAAAATATATTTCATGCTATTTTGCTGATAACCCTTATAGATCCTTTAATATTGCTTTTCATACTTTTTTTATGCAAGGTATATTTTATTCACTTAGAATTTTATTAAAATTTATTTTCATTTTCAGTTAACCTCATTTAAGTAATGCCTCAGTTTACATATTTTGTGCACTTCAAGATGATTCATGGCATTCATTGGTTATTTTTGGACTTTAATTTACAGATGCAATTTTTGCATTTCTTTCTTAATATATGATTTTAGAAATAGCTATTGGATGGCTCCTGGGATTTGTACCATCCCTTCCTTAATAAACATAAGAAAATAAATAGCATTATTATTTTTAACAATGATTTAAATAAACAGTAAGAAATAAATATTAAGAAGAAAGAGACTTTTTCTTTCATTTGACACCTGATTTCCAAAGTGACACAAGGAGAGTTTGATGGAAATTCTGCACTGTATCTTGAGTAAATAATAGTCAGCTGTGACTTATGGACAATAATTCCTTTCAAAGGGCTCCTGTAATACTGAAAACCACAAGAATAGGTGTGAGTGGCTGTGGCAGCCATCAGGGCTCCAAGAC